AAGAAGATATTTGCCAATGATATATCTGATAAGGGGTTAATATCCAAAATTTATAAAGAACTCAGACAACGCAATAGCAAAGCAAAACAAATAATCCAATTAAAAGTGGGCAGAGGACCTGAATAGATATTCTCCAAAGAGGACGTACAGGTGGCCAAGAGACACATAAAATGTTGCTCGACATCACTAATCTTCAGAGAGATGCAAATTAAAGCCACAATGAGTTACTACCTCATACCTGTTAGAAAGTATATTTTTAATAGAAAAAAAGAGCCAGCTACTTCTGATAGCAAAAAGGTGGTTTCCATGACTCAAAAATAGAAAATATAGAACTTTAATACTTAGGATGATAAAAATGTAAGGCCAGTCTTGCTGGGAATGGTGAACAAAATAAACTGACAAACAAAATAGATCCAGAGACATGGAAGCAGGTAACAGCCTGACGAACCTCAGAGGGAAGGTGGGAAGGGGGCCGGAAAGACACAAAGCAAAGAACTTATATGTATATATGCATAACCCATGGACACAGACAATAGTGTGGTGAAGGTTGGGGGGCAGGATCGGGGTAGAGGGGTCAATGGGGGAAAAAAGAGGGGACATCTGTAATACTTTCAACAATAAAGATAAATTTTTAAAACTTAAGAAACTAAAATATTAAGAATTGTGAAAAAAATTAGAAAATTTATCTTCATAGTATGAATATAAACATTATTATGTGTGAGATTATTTCACCAATAAAAATGGAGAAAGAGATTTAGGAACAAACTTGATACTGTAAACCTAATAATTATGTTCTCTAAGTACATAAAAAAAAAAAAAACTTTCTTCTGAGTCACATACAAAGTATGATTTTGGAAGGCAAAGAGTAATTTGAGTACACATTTGGTTATATGTTTAATTTAGTTGGCTGGAAAAAATAAATTGTAGCATGACTAAAAAAAAAAATGTAACTATTTAAGCCAAAACAGGTTTTTCCTATTTAAATATCTAAGTAGAAAAACAACCTAATTACTTTCTGTTCAAAATCCAGGATAATATTTTAACCCAAATCTTGGCAAGGAAAGTAGTTTACTTAACTATATGACAATGGTGAACTTTACCTGAACCCGGTGCTCCAAGGAAACTGAGAAGGTTTAGAATTTTCCCCGTCTTTTTGATCCTGAGAAACAACTAACTTCAATGGACCACCCTGACCTCATTTATAAGGTGCATCTCCATCCTTTCACATGACTCATGTAAACTCATGATAACTCCCTCTCTTACCTGCTTCTATAAAACCTCACATTTCATTCTTCTATAAGATGTATCTCAGTAATAAAGGTTCTCCATGTTGCAAAAGTTGGAATAAAAGCATCTCCTTGTTTGTCTTTGGCAAAGCTACAGTAATCAAGGCAGTGTGGTACTTTTAAAAGAGTAGATTTTAAAAGTTCTCATCACAAGACTAAAAAAAATTGTAACTATGGGGTGGGGAAGGGTGGTAGTGGCATAAGTATACATAGACTAATGAAACAAAAGAGAGACAACAAAAATAAACAACCCCTTCCCCCCCACACACACACACACATACAGTGCAATGATTTTTGACAAGGGTACCAGGACTCTTCCTTAGGAAAAGAACAGACTTTTCAACAAATAGAGCTAGGAAAAGTTGATGGCCACATAATTTGAGATTCCTTATGGAAAGTTCCAGCAAAGCATACATAAAAATCCCTGTGTACTCGATTACCATTCTTGCTGCATTTATTTAAATAATCGGGTCAAATCTAATGAGACCAGACTTACTTTGTAAAGAAGACTCAAACAGGGGGATGACTTGTTCTGAGAGACATTTATGTTTCAACGGAAAACTATAGCACAGCTTGAAGGATCATTAGATTCTCGCTCTGTTCATTGTCCTTTAGCTGCTTTTTTCCTCTTGGTAAGTTACATTTCGTCACTACCTACCAAATTACCAACTCTTCTAGTTTCCTTCAGTATCTGATTCCAACTCTCCAAATGAACATTTCCCATTTTTCCCAGCCTCCTAACTCGGCATCACTAAGGACTACAACTGCCAACTTCCCAAAGCCCTGCAAGCTGAAACTAGACAACTTGCTTAACACTTCAAAGAAAGCAACACGACAGATCATGTATGGGGAACATTCATGCACGGAGTTGCTGCTCTGTGTGTCACTCGGGATGCTATAAGCTCAACACCCAGAAATCCTCAACACTGGTTGCCCAAATACCTAGTCTCAACAGATGGCTCAAATGCTCCTTAGTGAACAAATGGTGACCGAATGAGAAATGGACCTAAGTTGTTCAAAGAATAAAGAATGTCTATTCTTTCCTTGATCGAGGAAAAGGACAGACAGAAAATCAGGATCAAGATGGAAGAGTAGGACGATCCTGAGCTCACCTCCTCCCACAACACAGCAAAACTACAACTACACACAGAACAACTATCACTGAGAACTACCTGAAGACCAGCAGAACTTATTCTTATCACTAAGAACATAAAGAAAGGCCACATCCAGGCGGGTAAAAGGGCACAGGCACAGTCTAGTCAGGACACACACTCACCGTGTGATGACCCACAACAAGTAGGGATATCACAACTGCAGAGCTCCACGCGGAGGAGCGAGGGATCTGAGCCCTCCATAGGCGCCCCAGGCCAGCACACCCACACCAGGAAAAGGAGCCCCCGTAATATCTAGCTGTAAAAAACAGTGGAGCTTACGTTTGGGAGAGCTGAAGAGCTGTAGGAAACAGACTCGTCTCTTAAGGAGCTCATGCACAAACTCACAAAGAGTCCCAGCACAGAGGCATCAGTCTGATAATCGCGTGGGTCATATGTGAAGGGGAGACATTGACTAATCTTAGGGCAAAAGCTGGAGGAAGAAGTATCTTTTGGAACTTTCTCTGGGGATGGAAGTGCTTACAGGCACCATTTTTTATATTCTCTTTCCAGCTAGTTGGCCTGGTGCTGGTGGGTGCCATTTTTGACATTCTCAATTAACCTGGTTAACACTGTTCACCCACACTACCATTTTGGAGATCCTGCCCACATAACCTGCCTGCTCCAACTGGCACCCCTCCAAAGTTGTTCCCACTCTAGCACAAAAAGCAGGCACCCTCGGCCTACACCAGAACCCATCCAAAGCATCTCCGGCCCTACACTCAGCATGCAAATTTAGCAGATACCGGTGTCCTTCAAAAACAACTGTCACCCTCTCACAGTTGAGGGGTGAGCTCAGCACCCCTCAAACCTGTCCTCTACCACCACACCAAGCAGGTGGCCTCAGATGGTATTAGTGCCTCTCCAAAGTTACTCCCAATTCAGGAGCAACCCCCCACATACCTGTGCACCAGCCAAAGTCAAGCCTTCCAGCCACCAGCAGTGAAGGCCTGCTGCTCACAATAGTGTGCCAGAAGCTGCTGTAGTAAAACCCAGCAGGAAGCCACACCACGGTTCTCACTTGCAAATGTTCCCACAGCAACCACAGCCAGGGTGGGGGACTTCCCTGTCCATCAGAACATGGGCAACAGTTGTGGCTGGGCCTTGCAGACAGCCAGGCCAGAAGCCAACCCCACCCAACACTGCACCCACAGCAGTCACAAGCAGGCGTCAAAGAGAGCCAGGCCAGGGACCTTCCCTGTCCACCTGCATGTCAGCAAGTGTCAAGGCTGACCCTGACAGCCATTTGGCCTCGGGCCAAATCTTTCCCACCAGCACGGCCCAGAAATCACACCAAACTATGACAGCTGAATGTACACAGCCTACACAACAGAAACCTGTGGATCACCTGACTCTGGTGACCAGAGGAGATTGTGCCACTGGGTCCCACAGGACACCTTCTGTATATGGCTACTTTTTCAAGACCAGAACATGTAACTGATCTACCTAATACATAGAAACAAATGGAATTAAGCAAATGAGGAGATAAAGCAGTGGTACTCAACCTGTGGGTCACGACCCCTTGGGGGTCGAATGACCCTTTCACAGGGGTCGCCTAAGACCACTGGAAAACACATATTTCCGATGGTCTTAGGAACCAAGACACCGCTCCTCTATTTGTCTCCAGGAGAGTCTACCCACATGCAAATACACCCACTTACAACATGAAGAACTGTATTAAAGGGTCGTGGCATTAGGAAGGTAGAGAAACACTGAGATAAAAGAATATATTCCAAATAAAAGTTCATGATAAAACCTCAGAAAAGTAACTAAACAAAACAGAGATATTCAACCTACCAGATAAAGAGTTCAAAGTAATGCTTATAAAGGTGTTCACCAAATTCACCAAAGAAAAATGAATGAACACAGCAAGAACTTCAACAAAAATATAGAAAATATAAAAAAGAATAAAATGAGTGACAAATCTCAGAGGGAAGGGGGTGGGAGGGTGGAAGTGAGGAGGAGGATGTCAATGGGGGGGAAGGAGGGAAATCTGTAATACTTTCAACAAGAAAGATAAACTTTTAAAATTATTAGACTATTAAAAACAGAGAAAGGTAACTAGGATAAAAATCAACCATTAGGAAAACATAGAAAAAGAAGCTAAAGGGGGCAAAGATAGAATGCTGTGAAATACCTAGAGAAGATTTGTAAGCTAGGAAGAAAAAGGACCTGACAATAGTCACCTGAATAATATAAAATATTAGAAGAATGAAAAGACTGCAGAATTGTAGAAGTCACGTAGGGAGAAAATGTCTATTAGATTTCCCAAGATTACACCTTCTAACCCTTGTCGGAGTAGTTCCAGGGGAGAGGTTGGGGATGAAGCCAAATTGTAGAGGTTTTGAGGAGTAAGTAAGATGTGAAGAAGGAGAGATGCTCATCATTTCTCCCAAAGCAAGATTGTCTCTGACCCAGGGTAGGCAAATATGTGTACATTTTACCTTTGAAAATATTTTTTTTAATTCTATAACCTGCTTTAATAATTTCTCCTTTCTCTTACAGTCACATTTCCTAATACATAAACAACTCCAAATAAGAATTAGGAAATTAAAATTGTTACCAAAAAACGCATTCAGCAGCTTCTGAACCTGAATATTGCTCCCCACGGTACGGTATAATCCCTCTGTCTTGATCCCTAGGGAAAGAAAATCAGATCAATTTTGTCTATATAGCTAGAGTTTTCATCTACCTCAGGGTAGAGAAAGTAGGTACTTACACACTGGAGTCAGTTCAAACAAGAAAGGGTTACCCTACTCTCTCCAAGCTCTCCAGCCCTCCGCTGTAGTAGAGGAACAGTCCTGAAGCATCTCAGTGAATTATTCTGTTCATACTTTAATTTGTATTATACCAAGCCCTCATTAATATGAACAGAAGTGAACACACTCTATAGTAAACAGCATATGCCTCAGTGGGGAGCAGCAGAAGACTGAGAATCGTGCTACCATCTTGAAAAGGAGCTAAGATCTGATTGAAAAAGAAGCAATGTCAGCCTGGCCGGTGTGGCTCAGTGGTTGAGCATCGACCCATGCACCAAGAGGTCACCAGTTTGATTCCTAGTCAGGGCACATGCCCAGATTCTGGGCCTGATCCCTAGTAGGCAGTGCACAGGATGCGGCCAATTAATGTTCTTTCTCATCAATGTTTCTATCTCCCTCCCTTTACCTTCCTCTTTCTCTAAAATCAATAAAGAAAAAAAAAATTTAAAGAAAGAGCTCAGCTGGTGTGGCTCAGTTGACTGAGCGTTGTCCCATGGACTGAGAGGTCCCGGTTCGATTCCTGGTCAGGGCACATGCCTGGGTTGCAGGTTCGATCCCTGTTGAGGGGCGTGCAGGAGGCAGCTGATCAGTGTTTATTTCTCACATCAATGTTTCTATCTCTCTCTCCCTTCCTCTCTCTCTAAAAAAAATAAATAAAAACTATATTAAAAAAAGAAAAAGAAGCAATGTCAGCCTTCAAGATGCCGTTGAGCATTGATAAAAAGGAAGAGGGGGCTGGGGTACGGAAGACGTAAAACAAAGACCATCTTGTGCATGGTGAAGCATCATCAACCTGGAAAAATGCTTCTCCCACATTTGTCTGAATTTAGCTTTGCCCCATCAACTTTTTTTTTTCCTTTATTGATTTTAGAGGGAAGGGAGAGGGAGAGATAGAAACATCGATGAGAGAGAACATCAACTGGCCACCTCCTGCATGTTCCCCACTGGGGACTTGGCCCTCAACCTGGGAATGTGCCCTGACCGGGAATGGAACTGGCGACCTCTTGGTGCATGGGTCGACTCTCAGCCACTGAGCCACACCAGCCAGGCTGTGCCATCAACTTTTAAAGCACTATATATCGTTGCAGAAACTAAACTCCTGTTTACTTAGGACTACCTTCAAAACACTACCTGATGGGTGCCAGGTAGTGTTTAAGAATACGTTATAAGCCATTTGAAGCACTTTCTCTTTCGAAGCAGGAAGCCACAAATTATCCAAATATCCTTGGGTACTACTGGTCGGGAATTCACTGAAATTATACAAATTGTGTCTAGTGTTCAATGTTTATAAACAGCATTTATCCCTGAAGTGAGTGCTGACCAACAGATGATACCATTGCTGCTTTCGAGAGATTGGCCCAGGATTAAGTCAGACTGGCTGCATTCAAACACCGCCAAGGCTATGGCTTATTATCTTACCTTTGGTCTCAATGACATTGATACATTTTCTAACAAACTTGAAGCCCACTTCGTTCAGCTCCACTGTTTCAAGCAGAGAAAAGCAGAGTTAGACTTTGACGTACACAAGCTCACCTACCAAGCATTCAACTAGCAACTAGGGCTTTGGTTGTCATCTCCAATCACCCTTAAATGGAGCAGTCCATTGCTTGGGGAAAGGGATACAGTTTTTACTCTTTATAACACAAAATGTTTTTAGTTAGCCCTCTGCATTTATGTCTGCTTTAGGCATGCACAACATCAAATGTGAAATGTTAGGCTGGAAATGCAGACAATTTCTACCCTACGTCTAGAACAAGAAGGATATAATGTGCTTCTTTATATTACTACTGCTACTCCCACCATACATTAAGATAAAGTGACTTCCTTAGTTCAATCAATAGATGCATATTTTCAAAATAGGTCTGAATTTCATTCCACACGTGGCATCCATAAACACACATGCATCGATATCACTGGTGACAGCATTTACTGTGATTAAGACAGCTGGCAGTTCATAATGTCAGGAGATCAGAAATGTGACTCACTTTCTTCCTGTTTCGTTATGGGACTGTGGTAGATCTACAAAAGAAGAGAAACACAAAGAGCTGTGGCACTGGGAATCGCTACAGGTATGGGGAAGCATGACAAATGACAGTGATCAAAACCATTCGTGACTCAAAGGCTTTAACAAGAAGGGCCAGTGAGCTAAACAGAATCATCCTTGCCCGAGTCCCTAGGAAACAGTTGAAATAACAATCCCTGAAGATTACACTGGATTTCGTACTGCTCGTTGCAGCTAAAGTTATAACCCGCTTAGACATTTCCTTAGGTTAGGCTTGGAGAGTTTTTCCGATGGAGCAAGAGCGCATGAGAGAATGGAAGTGGATTCCTCATGCATACCTGGGTCATGGGCATTGATGGTAAAATTATATATTCCCAGTACCAACCTCCTTCACCTCCAAGACTAGTTAACAAGTGTTACTCTATGGAAAGGCAACTGTCCATCTGTAAGAGGTCCATGCCCTGACAGATTTCTCTGTCTCATCTTGAAGTATACATTGTGATAGCGATGGAGAGACCAAAGAGGAGATCCTTGCCTCCTCCAGTCTAGCCCTGGTTCTGCCTCTAGCTCATTGCAAAATGTAGGGCACATCCTTTTCATCCTCTGGACTTCAAAATTCGTATCTCTAAAATGATCAGGATTGGAGGAGATGTTCCTTCATGTCCTGATCTTCTCTTACACTTTAGGCAAAGGCATGCAAAACTTGTGTAAAATGAATGGATCGGGGCGTTAAGTAAAGCAGCAACAACATTAGCATCGCCAGGCTGCAGGAAATAAGCCCTCGATCTGCCAGCTGGTAGAGTCTGCTTTAACAGTCTTTCCTTTTAAAATACTTTTTTTTGTATATGGTGCTGCAGTCGTCCCCGCCGCTTTGTGCTTCAACTTTCACTGCTCCCCTCTATCACGGCTCTCTCAAATACATTCATTAAAAAGTTGGTCGAGCCCTGGCCGGTTTGGCTCAGCGGTTGGAGCGTCGGGCTGCGGTACAGAGAGACCCGGGTTCGGTTCCCGCTAAGGGCATGTACCTCGGTTGCAGTTTGTCCCCGGCCCTGGTTGGTCGTGCGGGTGGCAGCCACTCGATGTGTCCCTTCACATTGATGTTTCTCTCTCTCTCTCTTCCTCTCTCTCCCTCCTGCTCTATCTGCACAAAAAATGGAAAAATGTCCTCGGGTGAGGATAAAAAAAAAAAAAAAAAAAGTTGGTCGAGACAGTGAAAATGATACAGAGTGCACTCGGTTATCTGAGTCAGTTGTGCACCCCTGTACTACAATTAAAATTAAAATCACTGCCCTGGCCGGTTTGGCTCAGCGGTTAGAGCATCGGTCTGCAGTCTGGAGAGACCCGGGTTCGGTTCCCGCTAAGGGCACGTACCTCGGTTGCAGTTTGTCCCCAGCCATGGTTGGTCGTGCGGGTGGCAGCCACTCGATGTGTTCCTTTCACATCGATGCTTCTATCTCTCTCTCTGTTCCTCTCTCTCCCTCCCACTCTACCTGAACAAAAGATGGAAAAATGTCCTCAGGTGAGGATAAAAAAAAAAAAAGAAAAAATTAAAATCACTGTCCGTATGGACTGTAGGCCTATGTATCCGAGCACCCCAGGAATCCTTCAATGCCAGGTGCAACCGCTCGAGTCTGGAACAGATGAACCGGGATCAACGAGGGACGACTGTACACCTATAAGTATTTCAGTGAGATGAGGTTCCATGCTGTCCGGCCCTTGCTGCCACTTTGACAAACAATATATTTGTGATAAGTTGGTCAAGATCCACATTCAGTGGGCCCATATTCTAACATTATTCTCCACACACACACACACAAAAAAACTTCTGCATCCTTCAATCTTTGAAACCTAAAGAGAGAACAATTTCAGGAGAGGGATTCAAGAGTAAAATGCCTTGCTGAGCCTCCTAGCACCCTCCTAGAGAAACATCAAAGACATGCTCCAGATTTCTGGCCGGGGAAAGAGAAAGGACAGGTCTTGGACTTTCTTCTTCAATGATTTTTTTAAATAAGTTTTTTTATTGATTTTAGAGAGAGAGGAAGGGAGGGGGAGAGAAAGAGAGAAACATCGATAAGAGAGAACATCAATTGGCTGCCTCCTGCACGCCCCCTGCTGGGAAGCCAGCCCACAACCCGGGCATGTGCCCTAACTGGGAATCAAACTGGTGACCTCTCAGTCCATGGGACAATGCTCAACCAACTGAGCGACACCAGGGGGCTTGGACTACTTTCTGCATGGCACTCCTCACTTCCAGTTTAGAGCTATCTTCATGGTTGCCATAAATGCAATCTGGGGTCTGTGCACACCTGTTCATATTCCAGGGCTCTGAGGACAGACAAAAGGAAGACCCTGAAATATATCTCCCCTCTTCTCAAGGGGAATAGAGCAAGGAGATTAGACTGTATCCAAATACTATTGAATCTCAGTAGTTTTGCACCCGTACTTCAGACTAGTTAGAAGCACCTAAAACTAGTATGACATTACGGTTGAAAGACTGGCTTTCATTTGATTTTTAAAGCAACCCTGTGAAGTAGATAGAAAGATCATTAAAGCCATTTTCCTGAAGAGAAGAAAACTGAGTCTCAGAGAGACGAATTAACTTTCTCACGGTCACACAACCACTGAATAGCAGAACCGCGATCCAAATCTGGGTCTTTCATATTCCAAGACTATGACCCTGATATTATTTCATAAGCCACTAGGAGAAACCTACTGGGAAGATACTGAAGAGAGAAAAAGCTTTTTAATCATTTCTTACTGTTCATATCGGTCTTTATAGGATAATCACCAACCCTTTTAAGGCATCGCCTACGTCCTGGGCAACAGTCAACTAAATACAGTAGTCCGTCTTGGGATACAGGATGGCAATGCCATCTCCTACACTAGCTGTACCCTTAAAGATAATAAACTGACTTTTGGGTGTAACAAGGGGGCAGCAAAACAATTTTGAATAAAATCTTAATAAATGCTTGTCCACAGCCATGCCAATTATTTTCAATCCTTCTGTATGAACACATGTGAGCTGTGTGAAATGAAAAGACGCTTAGTTCTCTTTAAGAAGATCTCGTAGGCACAGCTGCCTAATGGGGAGCAAGAAGCCACAGGCCCTGGATTCGAGGCCTCCTGTGAGGATGCTCCTAGAGAAATTCCTCACCCTCTCTGGAACTCAAGTTGCCTTACTTGTTTATTTTAATTTATGCATTTGAGAGAGAGAGAGAGATTTGTTGTTAAGTCGCCTTTCTTGTTAAACAAGAGATGGTGAATCAACAAAATTCTGTCCAGCTCTCAAAAGTTGGAGTCGGATGAGTCTCTTTTCCTTGAACTGTCCTAGGCCCACTTGGACCACTAGAGGGCACTCACACGCTGGGCTAGGCTGCAGAGGTATGCCCAGTGTGTGAGCTCACTTACAGGCTCTTTCCCATCCATGGCCTCCATCCATAGCCTTCTGTTAGCTTCTGAAAGGGCCTGTAGAGTGATGGTTCCTTGCCTAAGGGAAGAAAAATGAGAAGTTGAAAGCAGACAACTCACCTCACCTGAGAGAATGGAGTCTTGTGATCTAAGGTCCCTCTCAGCCCTCGGAGGTGTCACACTGAGTAGGCACAGGCATACAACACTCAAACTTTTCAAAATCTGTTTTACTCAAAAACAATAGACCATTTAGAGAACAGTCACCTGGGGAACCCTGAGGGAGGTGGTATGTTGGTGGCCTCATGCTCGGGTTGGGCAAGGAAATAGGAAGGCAGACGCCCAGATACCTCACCGTGATACTCACTTCAATCGGCCCTACACTGCTCTACCTGCCTCTCTCCAAAGCCAGCCGTTTGGTCTGGGCTCCAGGGGTGGGCACGTTCATCATGGACACATTCATCTTCAGGAAAACAGCTTTGCTCCTTCCACCACCTGGGATGTCCAGGAGCATGTCCAGTTGGAAAGAACTCAACAGCATGCACAGTGGCTCAGCCCCAGGGACGAGGCGTCTGGCTGACTTAAGCAATCCTGTGACTAACAGTAACAACTAAGAGTAATTAAGTGCTCGCCAGGTACCAGGTTCAGTTCTAAGTACTTTATAGATATGAATTTATTTCATCTACCCAGGAAGTCTATAAAGCAGGTACTATAGTTTTTTAAACGTCCTATTTTACAGAAGCAGTAACTGAGGAATAGAAGGGTTACCTGAGTTCACATACTGGGTAAGTACAGTGGACCAGGATTTGAACTGAATAATTCTGGCCCAGCAGCTTTGTTCTCTCCTAACTACTACCCTAGAAGGCCTCTTCTGCATGGCGGAGGGCCTCAACCCCGATTTTATTCTATTTACTTGCAGGCTACCTATACCTAGAGATATCCAAGGTCTTTTTAGACTTTCAAAAACCTCAGTGTGCCATTACGAGAAGCTCGTTCCTCTCTCTCCTTCTGTAAGATGAGACCTCTCTTGGAGTCATGAAATGATAACAATGATGAGAGACCTTGAGAAAGTCACTGGGCCTCTCTGGGCCTGTTTTGTTATCCAGAAGGACGTTGCAACAGAGAAACTGGAAGGTCCTTTCCAGTTCTGATATCATGGGTTCCTGTTTGACCTGCCCTTCTACCTCTTACTTCAATAAAGTATGTAATTCCTTTATTAAAAAAAAAAAAAAAGCTCTTAAATCATCTTTAAGCAAGAATCAACTTAAACCAGGACTTGGCTTTGGACACTGGATTCTTTCAAATTTACCTTTCGCTTGGAAACACCCAGCCTTTTGGATATATCTCACGGGGCTAGAAAGTCCAGAAACCTTTGGAAAGGCAGCTACGTAGCCAAATCCTGCAGCCAGAAGGCAGGCAGGCAAGCAAATGGGTAACAGACACAAAAGCAGAAACTGAGGACCAGATGCAATGTTAAAACCTTTCTGGAACTGAGTCCCCTATGTGGGAAATCAAAGAGCCAGTGTGTATCCTCGTTTGACCCTACGTAGAAGCTGAAAGAATCAATAAGTGACTATTCAGGAAGCCCGGGAGGACTCTTAAGTGCTACAGAAAGTCAAATTCCAAGAACAATATTGTTAGCAACAGGTGACAGAGTGCCGACTTCTAGTCTAGGTTGTTCCGTTACGATCTACTCTTCTGTTACGACCTACGATGACAAATCCTCTGCCCTCCCTGAGGTCTCAGTGACCCATCTGGAACGAGAAGGCGTATTGGTAGTAGAGTGACATCATTCAGAGTGTGAGCTTGGAGAGTACAACACCTGGATTTCATCCTGGCTCTGCCGTTGTCCGGCGATGTGATCTGGGTCGCTTAATTTCTCTCTGTCTCCTTGTCATCCTTTGAAAAATTGGGATAATAATACCCCCTACCTCAAGTGACTGTGCTGAGGACTAATGGAAATTATCATTCAAAGGGCCAAGAACAGTGCTTGACACATAGGAGCTTCAGCAAATGTCAGCAGTTATGTTGCTGCTGCTGCTGCTGTTGTTATTGCTGTCGTTGTTGTCATTATTTTTGCCATTATTATTATTATTATTATTATTATTGCCTTTCGAGCTCTGGTCAGCTATAAACCTGTGGCTTCGAAGACTGGTAGAAACACTAATAAAAAGTGATCCTCTATTCCTGAAATAGAATAATAAAGACCCGAAGCCCCTTTGCTCTGCGCCGCAGGGAACATGAATACAGGTGCCCACTGGGCAGCCCGACTCTGTTCCTCGTAGCAGGACGACCAGCCTGGAAGGCAGACATCACATCCCTCAGAAAACCACATGAGCCTCGGCACCTGTTCTATGTTATCTTTGACCGTCTGTTGCACAGTATAGGGGATTAAATCAGGGAATGGTTTTAAACGTGCCCAATATGTGGTAACTAAAATCACAGACACACTGAAACTTTAACTCCGGGGTTCTAGTCTCAGAAATCCCCAGCATTCCAGGGTAGGAGAAATAGATTAAAAATGAACACCCGATGTATTATCTTGCATGAGGCATGCAGAACACTAGGTGCGAGATACATGCATATGAATTGGTCTCAGCTCCTAACCTCAGAGCTGAACTATCTGCAACTGCTTGGAGTCCACGAGAATGTTAAGTGCAAATACGTAGCTCACAAATTTAAGCCGAAAAGGTAATCAGCATGAAACTGAAGGCAGAAAATGTTAATTTCTCATAAGCACCTTCATGCTATGAAACCCCAGACACCAAAGGTTCGTGAAAGAAAAGCCATAGGCAAAGGTCACTTTCCCCTCCCTCTGGGCGTGCTGCTTTGGGGACCCTGAGTGACAGCATCGTGGTTACCGGCAGCCATATTTACTGTAACAGTCATCTTTGACTGGGACCATCCATTTTTAACCAAAAAAAAATATATATATATATATATAGATTCACAAACAGAAATTTAAAATGGGGAAATTGACCAGTAGTTATTTATTCCCAGACCAAAAAAAAAAAACAAAACTGAAATGCCCTCATTTATTAGACTAATCTTTGTGATTCCAGTCACTGGTAGTTTCGTTCATATGATATTGTACTTAATCCTCCAAGTTCCTTTCTAGTAATCTGATCATTTTGTTAAATTCTATTCTACTGAACACAATAAGCTGTGGAACAAAATAGATCAAGAGCCATGGAAGCGGGGAGCAGACTGACAAGCCTCAGAGAGAAGGGGGGGGGGAGGAAGAGAGAAACCAAGGAACTGACACGCACACGTGCACAAGCAATGGACACGGACGACATGCGGGGAAGGCAGGGTGGGGAGGTCGGTGTCATTGGGGGGAAAAAGAAGGAACATCTGTAATCCTTTCAACAATAAAGATATATATTAAAACAACAACAGACTGAAATAAAGTATAGAAAGCTATTTAATCACGGAAATTTGGATCAACCTCCCACCTACCTAACCTGCCTTTATCCAAAGTAACTCCAAATGCTCTCAGGTCATTTAGTTTTTCATGCATGTAGGGGAAGGAAGGGGGTGGGGGAGGCACAGGCATGCTCTTGGGAAGGAGAGAGAGAGAGAGAGAGAGAGAGAAGAGGAGAGGAGAGGAGAGGAGAGGAGAGGAGAGGAGAGGAGAGGAGAGGAGAGGAGAGGAGAGGAGAGGAGAGGAGAGGAGAGGAGAGGAGAGGAGAGGAGAGGAGAGGAGAGGGCGCCAAATGCTCTCATTTTAAAATGTAAATGTTAAATTCCCCTCTGACAAAATTTCCCCAGGTCAGATAACAAGAGGAGGGCACTGGAGAGACTGAGTGCAAGGAAGTCCAACGTTTGCAATCCTTGGCTGAAATCACAAAGTTGATCATCAAACTATGTCCCCTTTATATAAATATCCGTAAAGTGGGGAAGGTCTGTATAATGTTTGCACCAAGTGGGTGGAAAGAAGACCCCCCAGTACCACTACAACCCTCCATGGCATCTAGCTCCCATCAAAAATGTATTCCAATTCACTTGTTCTTATGTTATATTAGGTTTTAAAAAGAATGAGTCTTGTTACCTTGTCCTTCTGCCACGTCATCAGACCCTGACCTTTTGCTCTGAAAGCACATGAACTGCCAGGAATGCCTGCTCCTGCCTAGAGCGAGCAGGGCAAGGCCTGCCCGGGACAAGCAGCTCCGGGCCAGGTCTAACAGGGTCCCTGTGAAGGACAGCCGGAAGAGCCAAGACATCGATGTCATGAACAGATTTGCTCATCCTCATCGAGAGATGACAGAGGGAAAGGCCTGCCCCGGCTCAGCACCCGGTGCAGGGACATTGCCCACTCACAGCAGCACAGCTCACCTTTCATTCGTTTCTATATCAAAACAGAACCTCTTGTCAATAGACTCCGTCTTCCTCCTCACGCAGTACTTCAGGGTTAAGTCCAAGGGTCCCTGAGAGAAGACAAGGATTGAGAGTCAATTTGGAAAAGAAAAAAATGCACAAAAGCTTCTTCTGCCTCTTGCAGTGTCCTTAATGTCACTGGGAAGGCATCTGTCGGGGCAGCAGGAGCAATGAATGCGTAGCCTCACTGACAACCTTCTGTCCCTTCGGACAGTAGCTGCAGCAAGATGGCAGATGGTTTCTCCCTGCTCCAAAAATCAATAAATGACCATCACTTTTTTCCAAGTGCGCTAGATTAAATGGAAAGCTCGTTACACATCATGTAAGGGGAGTGTAGGAGAAATAGGCTGCCCAAATCGCATTAATGTGTCCAGGATAAAATTTTCATTAGATGTCTAGGTGGGGAGATTGCAACGGGTAAGTGGCTTTCTGCAACCCTCCTTCCATTAAAGTGGCTGAGGGAGGAGCGGGAGACAAACATTTCTCTTCCCCACCTCTAGACTCTTGAGAATAACAGGGCTTACAAAAGCAGCCTCTCCAGGGATAGAGCAGGAGTAGGGAAAATAAGCCAATGTGTGTATTAGTCAAGGTGGCATTCGGTATCACATGTGAGCAGGATAGTTTGGTCCACCTTAGTCTTGTGGGCACTTAACAAGGCCATTGAAATCGATTTTGTGCATATTAAAACTCCCCAGTCCCACGCTGATTAGTTAAACTCATCTTGCCACCTTGGGGAGTGGGGAAAGGTTTGGGGGGGGCATAAGAAGAGGCATTAACTGCTTAAAGATACTTGAGTATTACATAGACTGTGAGGTAGGTATAGGTTACTCCAACTTTAGGCAACAGACTAACTCTTTCAAAAAGGAGTTTTGGTAAATGATTTACATGTTAAAGTCTTGCTATTTAAAGGAATCCTATAGTAGAGCCTTCTGAGAAGCAAGTCATACTCTCCACCCACAATTCAAACATAGTCTTGCACATTTCCTTTGTACAATGTGACAGGCAGAATGGTGTGAAAGAGTAATCTAATTAACAGAGATCTTTCACACCACTGAGAAGTATCGAACCCAGTGCAAACTTAGGCCAAGGAGGACATACGAAGCCATGGCTTCGCCTGACAGTGATGGATTTGGTTCTTTGACACTAAGTCAACATTTGGTCTTTCCTGAAATGCAGTCACAGGTGCATTGCAAAAACACTGTGGCACACAAAAGAACTGACCTGCTTAGCACCCGGCTTCTGCTCCATTGGCGTCATGGTGAGTGTTCTGGTCTCTTTCTCATATTGGCAGTAGTATTTCACCCAGGATATTCCCAAAGCCCCTAGAAAGAAAGGCAAAAGCAAACTGACAAATTAATCTTTGGGCTGCATAGTCAGGCCACCCCTCAGATGGAAGCTGTGCATAGCTCGCCCCTCAGGGTCATGCTCTAGATGCAACCCCTTCCCCTGAGCTGCAGCCCTGCACCGCCACCAGCCCACTGCACATGTGGAGATCCGAGCCCTCATCACCTGCTCTCCACATGCGCTCTGGCTTGCTCCAAACCACTCACCTTGCCATGTTCCCCATGAACATGGCCACTACACATCCTGTGGCACAAGCTGGAAACCTGTCACCTTCTGCTCCTGCTTCCCTGGGATGTGCCCCATTTGATTGGTGGTTGCATTCTGCCCATTCTGTCCCCTAAATGTCTCCTCCAGCTGTCTCATCCGGTCCACTCTTTTAGAACTAAAAGAGTTCAGCACCCTATCGCTGACTTCTCTTTTTCATGTTTTAGGAGCTGTTTCAAGCAAAACCAAAATTCATTATTTTTCCAATTAATTCTTTCAGTGGCCTTCTCCCTGGTTTCCCCATCTCTGATCACTCTTTCTAGTGCATCTCCATGCTTCTGCTAGAGAAATACTGTAAACTATATGTCTCTATTTGTGTCATTCCCCTCGTTATAAACCACACAAGGTTTTCCCACTGTCTCCAAACTCCGTAGGCTGGCCCACAAAGCCCCCTTCCTATTATGATCAGATTTACCTTTTCAGTGTTGTTTGTTTACAACCCTCTCCTCTGCGCTCCTGTCTCACTGAATTACTGTCAGTCGCCAAATAAACAGGTGGCCATATAACTCATCATCCATATTCAACACATATTTAAGAATGACTGGGGCACCACTGATAATTCCATCAGGACAGCAGATATAAACCAGGACTGTCTGAAGACCCTGCAAACAAACTACATCCTCATACACCTCTGTGCCTTTACTCAGACAGTGGTATACACCTGGAATTTTCTCTCCCTTTTTCTTTACCTATCAAGACCCACTCATAATTCAAGTTCCAGTTCAAATATCATTTCCTCAATGAAGCCCTTAAATACATGCCCCTTATATATATGCTCAACACATTTATTATAATTACTGATATACTTGTCTGTCTTCCTCATCAGACCGGGTAGTTCTGTATAAACTAGTAGGTTATAAACAAAGATTGATGCATTTTTTGTGTGCCTCATATACTGAGTATTGTCTAGAGAAAAGGATGCTCAGTAAGCATACATTCAACTGACCAGCAAAACCACATCCATTTGACAAATTAGAAAACTGGGCTATAGAAGGATCATGTGGCTAATTTATTAGAGCCAAGATTACAAAGACATTATTTTGCAATGTCACAGTGGTTCACAACCAGTGGGCATGTTTGGCAATGTCTAATGACATTTCAGATGATCACACCGGGGGAGTTCTATTAAAATAAAGTGGGGAGAGATGCTGCTAAACATCCTATAGTGCACAGGATGCCCACTCGAGAACAAAGAACTACCCAGCCCGAAATGTCAACAGTGCTGGGACTAAGAAATACCGCAATGCAGACTTGAAGCGCTGACCCTGACAAATGGAAGAACACATCTTTGAAAACCATAAAAAGTTAATTGCTCTAAGGGAAGAAAATCAAAACAATATCGCTGATACAAAATCATCCTTTGTGTATTGAAGTGGTTTTTGCCACTGGTAGCCTCTGGGTAGCCTCTTCTGCCTACTCTCCAGGAAGAACAATTCTGGGCAGGGAATGAAATCACAGGCTTTGGGGGCACTGAGTCATAGTTCGTAGGAAAAGCAAACAGTACATACAGGTTTGCCTAATGTAATTTAGCAGGCAGGAAAACTTGAATCATCAGCAATATGTAGTGACTGGATACATTAACCCATTTTCCTTGGTTAACAATGAACCATCGCCTTGCCCACTGAAATCACAACAGTTATTTAGTGCTTTAGAGCAACCTTGTAACCCTAAGGCAGTGGAAGGACAGAGTACAGAGGTAGGACACCGGTTTTGACATTTCACAGACCTGAGCTTACACTGAGGCCTGTTACTTGATAGTTGGGTGACTTTTTTTTTTTTTTGCCTTTTTATTTTAACATCTTTGTTTTTATTTATTCATTTTTTTATTAATTAATTTATTTATTTTTGTTACAGATGTTTCTCCTTTTTCCCCCACTGATTCCCCCTCCCCCTCCCTCCCTGCCCTGTCCTCAGCTTGGTTGTCCATGTCCATTGTTCATGCACACATGCATATAAGTTCTGTGGTTTATCTCTCCCCCACCACCCCTCTTCTGGGGATTGTCAGTCTGCACCTCATTTCCATGTCTCTGGGACTACCCCATTCCTCAGACTGTTATGTTCATTATATTCCACAAATAAGTGAGAGCATATGATATTTGTCTTTCTCTGTTTGGCTTGTTTCGCTTAGGATGATACTTTCCAGGCCCCTCCATGTCATCTCAAAGGATAAGATATCTTTCTTTCTAACAGCTGCATAGTACTCCATTGGATGACTTTCAACTGGTGATATCTGTGAGCTTCAGTGGCCTCTTGTGAAAATGGGTATAATAAAGTGGTCCCAAAGATTAAATGAGACAGTGTATTTAAAGCTCTTAGCACCATGCCTGGCACACAATAGGTATAATAAATATTGTTTTTCTGCTTCCTATCCCCTACCTCCCTTTTTGCCCCAAAGAGTCATTAAAAGGACTAAATGGTTAACAATCCCCATTTTGAATCACAGAGAAAACCTGAGGCCTTATCATTCCAGAGCCTTTGTGAGACAAATCCTTACCCACCCCCCTCTAATTCCTCCTTCTTTTATATTTTCATATCCCCAAGCTGCTCTCCAAAGAGGTGTTGTTCTCAGGGGTGTGTGATCATTACTAGTGCCCAGAGTTTGGAAAGGTCAAAAAGCAGTAGGTGCCAGACTACTTGAACCCAGTGGGTACCCCTGTATTCCCACTCACATTTCTCTTGGGTATAGAGATAGCCTTCAATGGTTGGCTGTCCTGGAAGTTTGCAAGTCTGGGGAGCCTCTTTCATCCTTTTCTTAAGTTCTTCCATCTCTTCTCGGGTACTGGAGAAATGATTTCTTGTCTGCCAAGACACCATCGTCATAATCATGATCATCATCACCATCGTCATGAGTAAGCAATTTTTGGTCAGAGACCCAGAGCTTTTTGGCTTTCATCACGTGTTACAACACAGCAAAAAGCAAGTGTTGAATGCCACAGAGGCTACAAAACAACTTTATGGAGTTCAACAGCAGTAAAGACTAAAAGGGGAACAAACATAAATAGAAATGTAGCCATAAAACCACATTTGGGAGACTTTTTTCTAACAAGAATCACATAAGACTAATAAATATGGGCACTTAGAATTCTGAGCATGAGCCTGACCCCTGCTTCACCAAAAGGGAGCCTATAAAGAAGGTTCTCAAAGAACATTATCATGGCAACTTTTATCTTCTGCCTCAAGTAAAGTTACTGCCTACTTTAACTCTGATTTAAATGCTGGCCATTAGGATAAAATATATAAGAGGATGCTCTCTTTGAAAATAGGTGAACAGAAAACTTATGTTTTTTTAAACAAATTTGTGTTTTTTAAATATGTTTTTATTAATTTTATTAGAGAGAGAGGAAGGAAGAGAGAGACAGAAACATCAGATGTGAGAGAAACATTGATCAGCTGCCTCCTGCACGCCCCCTACTGGGGATCTGGCCCACAACCTGGGCATGTGCCCTGACAGGTAATCGAACTGGGACCTCTCAGTCCATGGGACGATGCTCAGTCCAGTGAGCCACCCCGGCCAGGCTTTTTTATAATCATGAATAACAAAAGCTAACGGTAAGAAATAATATTTTTAAAATAGACAACTAAAGCACAATGGCAAAACAGTTTGAAATGTGGGTATGAACATCATTAGGTGTCCTCAGTATTTAGTCGCAAGACTGTCACATGACAGTTGGCAAAGGAGATCTGGGGTGCCCTATCTAGTTGGGCCCGCTCTCCTCGTTATCCTCTAAATGTGTTCACCATTTAGATTCGTGCAGAGGCTTGTGCAACTCATGCTTGTCAAGATATCCTTGAAGGAAGATTCAAGCAATTAACCAGGTTATAGGAATACTTTGTAAATCAGCAGAGGATAAGGGCTTTCACATTCTGGTGAAGGAAAGTCCCCAGAAAGGAGAGTTCCCAGAAAGGAAAACAACTATAGTAACCGGCAAGTGAACATCCTCCTAAACAAACAAGTGAAACCTATTTCCACTGCCACTCACCAACCACTTCCATGGAAAAATACAGCTATACATTTCATGTACGTTAACAACCAGTTCAGAGTCACGACCTCAGTGATACCTTCTTTGACTGTACTAGGCAGTCAACTGTTCAACTCTCTGTGCATCTTTAAAATTGTTGGTGTTCATTTTATTATAGCATTGATCACAAGGAATTATGATTTATCTGTGATTATGTCTCTCTCCAACAAGAGACGGTATATTCTTTGAAGACAGAAAAACTAACATGCCTCATTGTAGTATGAAGCATGTTACAATACCTGGCACAGAGTATATGTTCATTATATCCGCAAGCATTCATTAAATGTGAGTTAAATTAAAAATATATATATGGTACAAGAATGGGAAGGCTATGCCTATGCCCATCTATAGGAACCAACGTGGGAAAGCAGGTGGAGAAAACCTTTAAAAATAATTTAGTTAACTCTAGCAATAAGTAGTGAGAAAAGGAAGACAGGGGGAAATGGGCATTCATGGTAATAAAACCCACAACGGGTGTCTTGCCTGACAAGCAGGGAAGTAGCATAAAACCTGTGCATAAACAAGCCAATAGCTGGGTTCCCATCTGGGAGAGATGCAGCAAATTAGCAACACTTGAGAAATACCGGATAGATAGTGTATCGGTGGGTGGAAGGGTGGGTTTGAGCACCAGTCAGCCCAGGTACAGGGCAGAGCTAAGAATGAAAGAGCAAGAACAGTCCAGTCCACTAAAACATCTGTGTCCTGACAAATTGGCTGAGGCACAAAAAACCTACAATCCAAAGGTCAGAGTCATCAGGGTTTTTAAATCCCACTGTAATGCAGAGACAGGTGAAAAAACTTACATTCTGCAAACTGAGCTGGAGCTTTTGTTTGTATGGGAGGAAATCTTGTGTGAGCTCCACAGTCAAGTTGTTGGAAATGAAGAGGCTATGGAGAAAGGCCAAGACCTAGGAAAAATAAAAAAATAACTTTGTCACCAGCATCTTCCCGTTGATCAAATAAAGAAAACACAAGCATAGAAAACAAATTCCCTGCAGTGTTTACTCAGTATAGTCTTAAAAGCAGCCATGCAAACACAAACATGTCTACACATAGCTATTCTCTTACTAGGTTAAACATTTACACTAAACCCAGTTCCAGAAAATAAGGACTACTAACAAATTTATTCATTTAGATCCTTTTCAGGTAGCACAGAAAACCATTCACAATTTGGACTGTATGGGGATAGACCGTGTTTTTTCTCCCTAAATCCTCAGGACTAGCACAGAGTAGGTACTCAATACATATTTGTTGAATAGGTAACAGAATGGAAAAGGAATAAAGTCAGCATCTGTACCTTTATGAAGACTGCCATAATGCTAAAGAATCCAAGGAGCTAGAACCCAATTTCAAATTAGAAATGTTTTGAGGGAGTTGCAGAAGAAGACGTACAAATGATCAATAAAACTTTTTAACTTCCAACCCCATTAAAAACGAAATACACATAAATAAAAATAAAAATATATGACTTTTAACTATCAAATACAAACATTTAAAAAATAACACTTAATGCTGGCAATAGTGAAGTAGAATAAAAAGTAATAAAAATTGCTTTATTCTTTTTAGAAACTAAACAGGTGAGCACACATAAATATGCACATATGCTATACACATATAAACACATATGTATATATGACTACGAACTATATCTGCATATATACATAAACACATACAAAAACTATGTACATAAACACATGTGTATATACACTACTATGTAATATACACATATGTGTATATGTGTGTGTGTGTGTACCATACACACAGTACTACACACAATCTTCCTGTTTCTGTCCCAAGCTTTCCCATCTCAGGAAACAACAACACTACCCAATCATTCAGTCAAACCAGAACATAAAGAATCATACCTGCTTTCTCTTTCACTCACACCTCAATCCAACCTATCAGTAACTCCTGTCAGTTTTGCTTCCAGACACGTCTCTCATCCAGCCATTCTTTTCTATTTCCACTACCACTACTCTAACTCAAACAACCTCTTCTCTCACCTAGAGCACTACACTAGCCTCCTGACTGGTTTCCTCCTTACCAATGTTGGCCTCTTTCAAGCCATTTTCCATACAACAAAATGAGCCCATGTTATATCCTGTTTAACACCCATCAGAGGTTTTCCACTTGCCCTCGGACTAAAATCCAAACACCTTACCGTGGCTATAGGTCCTATGCCTTTCTTTCAGACATTACTTGCTGCCACTCCCTTATATCTCACCAGTACCTAAAGGCTAATCTTTCATTCATTGATTACACCATTCTTTCCTAAGTTAAGGACTGTGCATGTCTATCTTTCTGTGCCCAGAATGTTCTTTCCCTGTTATTCACATTGCCTCACCTTCACTTTCTTTAGATCTTAAATGACACTTTCAGAGGGCCTCCTTAATGACTTGATCTAAAGTAACTGTCCATGTTTGTTCTTTGTTTTAGTGCTTATCACAACTTACAATTATTTTATTTATGTATAGTTTCTTTCCTTTCTGTCTACCCATGAGAATGTTGTATTCATAAAGACAGAAACTGAGTCTGTCTTTTTCACCATAGGATAACCAGTGTTTAGCACAGTGCCCAGCACATAATAGAAGCACAATAAATATTTATGGAATGAATGAATACATACTTGTTTACACATGTATATGTACAGATATATACAAATGACAGATACACATAAACACAGAGGTATACACTCATGTGCATAGCTAGTCACACAGGTGTACACACACCCAAATCTTCAAGTAGCTGGGTATACATAGATAGAAAAATAAATATTATAGATACACAGACAATATGGGAAAGAAAATGTCACAATATTAACAGTGATTATCTCTGTATAGGGAATTTGTTGTTTTGCTTTGTTTTTCCTATATTTTTTCTAGCTTTTCTACAATAAGAATACACTTGCTATAATTTTAAAAGTGTTAAAATTCAACATAATTGTCAAATCAAAGTACATCATATTTTATGACAAATTAAAGGATTTAAGTAAAAAAAATTAAAGAAGATAGAAGTAAAAGTGGTAGAATGGGAAGTCATTGAGTGCAAAAGACATGAGTTCCTAGCACAGTGCCTGGTACAGTATGGGTATTTTTAAAGGCTTTATGAAGCATGAGAGGAAGAAAAAAGGAGAACTAGGTAAAAAGAAGGGAGACAGAGAAAACCAGGGAGGGAAAGAAGAAAAGAAAAGAAAAAAAGAAAGAAAAACCATAGCTAGAGAGAAAACATGGGGGAGGAAAGAGAGAGATTTGTATTAAACACTATCTTTCACATTCTTTTAGTTTCTAATTTTAAGATCAAAGTTCTCCACATTTACCAAGCATCTGGTAAATTTTTTTAAGGCATTAATCAACAGGTACAACTTACCGGCTCCACAATATTGAACTTCTTGGACTCCTGAACTTCCTGGATTTGATAAACATAATCAAGGGAGGACTCAAAAAAAACGTGCCTCTCCTTGTCCACTTGCAGGTCTGCCTGTATAAAAAGGGTAGCAAATGTCACAAATCAGCATTTGACCCCAAAGCAGAAGAATATACAATTTTTTCAAGTGCACATGGACATTTTCAAGGATAGACCACATGGTAGTAGACAAAACAAGTCTCAGTTAATTTAAGAATATTGAAATCATATCCAACATCTTCTCTGACCACAACAATATGGAAATAGAAATCAAAACAAGGAAAAAAATAGAAAAACACACAAACACATGGAAGGTAAATAACACGTTACTAAACAATGAATGGCTTAACAATGAGATCAAGGAAGAAATCAAAATATACCTTGAAACAAAGGAAAAGAGAACATAACAACCCAAAACCTATGGGACACAGCAAAAGCAGTCCTAAGAAGGAAATTCATAGCAAAACAGAACTACACCAAGAAGCAAGGAAAATATCAAAGAAATAATATAACCTTACACCTAAAGGTAATAGAAAAAGAACACCAAAGCCCAAAAATGTGTACAAGGAGGAAAATAATAAAGAGTAGAGTGGAAATAAATGACATAGACACACACACAAAAACAAAAACAAAAACAAAAAAAAAGATCAATGAAACCAAGAGCTCATTATTTAAAAATAAAAACAAGATTGACAAACCTCTAACCAGGCTCATCAAGAAAAAGACAGAGAAGACCCACATAAAATCAGAAATGAAAGTGGAGAAGAAACAACTGACACCACAGAAATACAAGGAATTATAAGAAAATATTACAAGCAACTATAGGGCAACAAATTAGAAAACCTGGACGAAATGGATAAATTCCTAAAAACATAAAAGCTTCCTAAATTGAATCAGGAAGAATCATAACATCTGGGCAGACCTATTATAACTAATGAAATTGAGCCGTAATCAAAAAACTCCCAGCCTGGCCGCTGTGGCTCAGTAGTTGAGCATCGACCCATGCACCAAGAGGTCACCGGTTCGATTCCCAGTCAGGGTACATGCCCAGGTTGTGGGCCCAATCCCCAGTGGGGGCATGCAGAAGGCAGCCAATCGATGTTCTCGCTCATCGATGTTTCTATCTCTCTCTCCCTCTTCCTTCCTCTCTCTCTAAAAAAATATAAAAATAAATAAAAAATAAAAAACTCCCAGGAAAGAAAAGTTTTAGATCAGATGGCTTCACAGGTAAATTTTACTAAACCTTCACAGAAGAACTATACCTATCCTTCTCAACTATTCTAAAAAACTCAAGAGGAGGGAAGATTCCCAAGCTCATTTTACAAGGCCAGAATTATCATAATTCTAAAACCAAACAAAGACACTACAAAGAAAGGAAATTTATAAGCCAATATCCCTGATGAACATAAATGTAAAACTCCTCAATAAAATATTAGCAAACCAAATCCAGTTTCTCCATGGTGAAGGATCCATCAACAAAACAAAAAGACAATCTACTGAATGGGAGAGTATATTCACAAGGATACATCCAAAAGGTGTTACTATTCAAAATATATATGGAACTCATACACCTCAATAAGAAAAAAAGATACAATTCGATTTAAAAATTGTCAGAGGACCTGAATATTCACCTCTTCTAAGAGGATATACAGATGAACAATAGACATATGAAAAGATGCACAATGTCACTAGTCATCAGGAAAATGCAAATCAAAACTACAAAAACATATTACTTCACATCTGTCAGAATGGCTGTTAATATATCAACAAACAGCAAGTGCCGTGGATGTGGAGAAAAGGGAAAGCTCTTGCACTGTTGGTGGGAATGCAATTGCTGCAGCCACTATGGAAAACACTATGGAGAGTCCTCAAAAAACTAGAGACTAGACCTGGCCAGTTTGGCTCAGCAGTTAGAGCGTCAGCCCATGGACTGAAGGGTCACGGGTTCAATTCCCAGTCAAGGGCACATACTTGGGTTGCAGGTACGGGAGGCAACTAATCAATGTGTCTCTCTCACATCGATGTTTCTCTCTCTCCCTCCCTCCCTCACTTCCATTCTATCTAAAAAAAACCAATGGAAAAATATCCTCAGGTGAGGATTAACAACAACAAAAAAACTAGAGACTAGAACTACCATATGACCCAGCAATCCCAGTTCTGGGTATTCATCAAAAACATAAATTTGAAGATATATGCACCTCTATGTTCATTGCAGAATTATTCATGGTGGCAAAGACGTGGAAATAACCAAAGTGTCCTACAATAGAGGACTGGATGAAGAAGATGTGGTACATATACACACCGGAATACTACGCAGCCATAAGAAAAGATGAAATACTACCATTTGCAACAACATGGATGGATCTTGAGAATATCCTGCTAAGCGAAATAAGTTAGACAGAAAAATAAAAAAAAACATAAGAACCATACAATTTCACTCATAGATGGAATATAAAACTGAAAGCAACAAATGAACAAACAAGACAAACAAAAACTCAAAGAGCAGACAACAGTATGGTGGTTCCCAGAGGGAAGGGGGTTGGGAGGTAGTGCAGGGTAGATGGGCTTCAAATATATGGTGATGGGCCGTGAACACGTAATGCAATGTATAGATGATGTGTTATACGATTGTACACTTGAAACCTATATAATTTTACTAACTACAATACATTTAATTTAAATAAATGAATAACTGGGGAAACTGCATGCAGGGTAGTAAGGATGTATGGGAACTCTCTGTACTTACCATTCAAGTTTTAAACCCAAAAATGCTCTAAAAGTTAATTCTCTTAATATTTTTTAAAAATGTGACTAAGGATCTCCAGCTTTTTTCTGCTTAAACAAGTACAATGGCTGCCTCCTTGCTCATTGGGAAAGTCATCAGGGACACAGACAACAGCATCAAATTGCCAGGACACTCCAAAAGCTTTCACTGTGACCACCTCCCAAAGCATCAAGTTTGGACAGTGTCCAGACTTGCAAAACCCCCAGGGTCGGTGATTCTCTAGGACAACTCACAGGACTCAGCATATAGTCATACTCATGGCTAAGATCTATTTTAGTGAAAGCATACAAACCAAATCATCAGATGGGAAGGAAGGTGTCTTGGGGGGGTGGGGGGAGAAGAAACATTTGTAACAAAAATAAATTAATAAAAATTGGGAAAAAAGAAAAAGAAACACAAATCATCAAAGGAAAAGAATACGCGGGGTAAAGTCCAGAGGAAACTAGGTGCAAACTTCCAAGAGTTCTCTCTTAGTTCAGTCACACAGGTCAAACTCCAGCAAGAGGTTATGATAACACATTGCAATGCTGTCTACCAAGGAAGCTTGCTAGAGACTGAGTTGAGTATCCTAGGTTTTTCTTGGGGGGTGTACACAGGCACCTTCTGCCGAACATGTACCAAATTCTGGACTCCCAGAAGAAAACGAGGTGTTCAGCATAAACCACGTTGCTTGCACAGGCAGTTTAGGCACACTGAGTCGCAATAATTTAGGGAAACTTTTATATCAGTGTAAGGAAGTGTTTACCAGCCAAGAGCAATTCTTGTAAGCAGACATTTTGAAGCACAGTGGTCTCAGGCCTGTTATGTCAACTCTTTTCTGCATAAAGTCTTTGGCACAGAATAGATTAAAAAAGAAGAAAACAAAAGTGTGTGAAAGAAAATGGCAGAAGACCCCAAACTAGTACTTCATTCCTGTTTATGACCAAAAAAATAGTCCTTTACCTTCTCAATACTAACTTCATCCATCACTGAGGATCTTGACTCATCACCTTGAAACACCTCGCATGATGTGATGTATACTCACTACATCAGGTGTCTGGAGATGACCTTCAGCTCTGCCACAATGTGTGTGACCTTGGACAGGATGAGTTCTAAGAGTGTTCACAGCTCATGTCTATGACCTTATTCAATTTGGTATCTCTTTTCATATTTGAATCTATAAATCTCTCCATATGTTACTGGACCTTTTATCCAATACATAGATCTGTTCTTCCATTTAAAAAGCCTTAATCAGTTCATTCCTTCCTTCCTTTCCCCTGCACTAGTCTTCTGACACAGACCCTCTCCCCCAGATCACTGTAATAGTTGCCAACTTGGTTTTCCTGCTTCTAGTTTCTCTCTGATCAAATTCATCATATTCCCCCAGCCAGTTTAAGGTTCCTAAAATAAAATTCCACTCATATTGCTTGCACAACCAGAGGCCTTCAATGATCCTCCCAGGGCCGACAGAATTCAGTATAAACTCCTGCGCCTATCATTCCACAATACAGCCTCAACTTGCCTGATCACACCTCGTGGTGCATTACCCTTCACTAGTAAGGCAAATCCTGGTTAAACTGTTTCCCAAACATACTCTACGTTTTCCATCCTGGGGACCATTGCCCTCCACTTGAAAGATCCATTTCTCCATTTCTATCCATCAAACATTTTACCTATGGCTGGAAAGCAACAGTCTTCCACCAGTTTGTAATCCTCCAAATACTTTCCCACCCCTGCAAGGACACCACGTGCACATACATATTACAGTAGGTACACAATTCTACTTGTATAAGCATCATGTGTGTTCTTTTTTTTTTTTTAATCCTCACCCGAGGACATTTTTGCATTTATTTTCAGACAGAGCAGGAGGGAGGGAGCGGGAAGAGAGAGAGACATCGATGTGAGAGAGACACATCAAGTGGCCGCCACCCACACAGCCCCAACCAGGGCCAGGGCCAAACTGCAACCTAGGTATGCACCCTTAGCGGGAACCGAAGCCGGGACTCTTTCGGTCCACAGGCCAACACTCTAACCGCTGAGCAAGACCGGCTAGGGCATCATGTGTGTTTTTATCCAAATGGTATGCTGCAGAAGGATGGGAAGCATGTGTTACTGGCTTTGCATCCTTGCAGCACTCAGCATAGAGCCTGACATGTGCTAGGCACTCACCCAACAGTGACTTTTCTAAATTGAAATCAATGCAACTCCCATATGACCTGTAGTCCCAGTGTAGAACCAAAAAAAAAAAAATGCTAATGTTGGAATACCTCGGAGGAAAAAGGTAGATCTCTTCGTGATCCAGCAAATACAACCCTAATTTAACTCTCTCCTTGTGTGGAAGATGGAATCCAAAACTTAGAACTGAAAGGGATTCTGGGAAGCATTGAGTACCACTGCTTTGGTAGACAGGGGAACTCAGACCAAGAAAGAGATACGCTATTCAAAGTCATGCCGTGGGTCAGTGGAGGATCTGGCTGGAGAACTCGGGACATCTGGGTCCCAGGCCGTGGTTTTAACTGGCAGCACTGCCATCAGCCACGATTCTTGGCTAAGGCAGGGTACGAGGAAAGCCTTGCAATAGGAAGCTGCACATACCTCTTGTAACTGAGATTCTTTCTTTTTGGAAGACAGATGTATGTGCCGATCCAGCAAAGAATAAAACCTCTCACCATCCTTTTCAAATTTCTTTTTCCGCTCCTAGACGTGGGAGAGAAGGCACAGATTAGGATGTCTATAGTTTTCATTCCGCTTGCTCAGAACCGAGAACGAAGGACACAGAACCAGGTTTCATGTGGCCAATCTCTCTATTTCCTGGGAAGAAGGAAAAAAGAGAATATTTGCTTTTGCATTGGTCTCAGGAGTTTTGACTTCCTCCGATATAGCCCAGAATCGCTCCACCTACGCACAGGGCAGTTCCTACTGGGCCTGAATCCTGGGACCACCTTCTTCTTCCCGTTGTTTCACAGTCACTAACTCCTCATTCAACTTTTTTAAATGGAGGAAGAAGAAAAAACAATAGTGAACTTAATACATGCCTTTAAAAAGGTTAATCTACAGTGCGTTTAGACAACCTAATAATAAGTAAAACATTTCCAAGAGGAGGCCGGGGTTGCCTCTGTAAATGGTGAGTTCTGTGGTATTGTTTAAGCATTTCACTGCTGCGTATTAAAAGATGATGTTATAGGTCATTTAAAAATCCCGAAAGGACCCTGGCTGGTTTGGCTCAGCGGTTGAAGTGTTGGTATGAATTCGATTCCCAGTTAAGGGCCCAGACCTGGGTTGCAGGTCGGGGTCGTGTAAGAGGTCAACCGATTGATATGTCCTGTTCACACTGATGTATGTCTCTGTCTCTGTCTCTCCCTCCACTCTCTCTCAAAAATAAAATCAATGGCCCTGGCCAGTTTTGCTCAGCGGTTACAGCATCGGCCCGTGGTCCAGAGAGACCCGGGTTCGGTTCCCACTAAGGGCACGTACCTCAGTTGCAGTTTGTCCCCGGCCCTGGTTGGGGTCGTGTGGGTAGCAACCACTCAATGTGTCTCTCTCACATTGATGTTTCTCTCTCTCTTCCTTTCTCCTTCCTGCTCTATCTGAAGATAAATGCAAAAATGTCCTTGGGTGAAGATTTTTTTAAAAAGAGCTAAAAAAATAAATAAAATCAATGGAAAAATATGCTCAGGTGAGAATTAACAACAACAACAAAAATCCTAACTGTTTAGCTGGAAAGCAAGAGTTGGAAAACTTTTGGGGGATGGGGGACCCAACTGTCACTCTCCGCAAGTAGGAAATTTAATTAAGCTCCGCACCTCTCAGCACAACAGCCTCCAAAGGTACACTAACCATGCTCACTTGTCACAGACTAATGCTGACACTCTGAAATCCTGCCAGCAATGTGCTGGGAAATCCATGTCAAAGGCTTGTGTTGTCTCATAGAAAATCCAAATTCAGTGAGCGACAGTGTACTAGGTACTAGAAGAGACACAGCAGGGAACACACAAATAAAAAGAGAGAGAGAAAAAAAAAAACCAACCTCACCCATGGTTTATTTCTAGAAGCCATCTGTGGCTAGGCAGGAAGCCAGGACAGAGCTGAGTGACCTCTGACCTGTAAGGAATGTGCTTTTACCAGAGGGAGAGAAGTAGAGAGGAAGCTAACATTAACTGAAGCCCACACTTAAAACCCATGATCCCATTTCGTTTTCACACTGCCGAGAAGTAGATGCTATAAAGGAAATTAAGGTTCAAAAAAGGTGAACTAACTCGCCCAAGGTCACATAATATGCAAGTCGATCTGATTCATTCCACGTAGTCAAATGGAACCCAGATGATCATTGGAGAAAATACAGTCGGGCAGCTTATAGGTAATCAGGGAGCCTGGTGAGTAAAACTCAAGTATGTCTATAGCCCTAGCCCCAACTCAGACACCAAAACACAGGTCAGAGAGATGTTCATGCAGATCGGTAGGGCAAACTGTCCTTCCAGCGGCTGAACCTACTTAAAGTAGCAATTGTTTGAAGAAAGCATGGCAGCCAGAAAAATGTCAATGACTTCTATGGGTCACTTTATACTCCACTTCCATTTTATTTTAAATAAAAACTATGAGATACAAAAAATATAAAAAAATTAATAAACAAACATGAGATATAATTCACATATAAAATTCAACCTTTTTTAAAAGGGGGACATTCAGGGGGTTTTAGTAGATTTACAAAGTTGTGCCATCATCACTGCTATCTAATTTCAGAATATTTCCATCACCTCAAAAAGAAAGCCCATACCTATTAGCAGCCATTCCCCCACTACCCCACTCCCTGTCTCAAGAAACCACAATTGCCTTTCTGTCTCTATGGGTTTGTCTATTACAGACATTTCATATATAAGTGGAATCATACAATACGTGGCCTTTTGTGACTATCTTCTTACACTTAGCATAATGGTTTCAAGGTTTACCCACATATCAGTACTTCATTCCCTTTGATGGCTGAGTAATATTTGATTGTATAGATATACCACATTTTCTTCATGAATTCATTGGTTAAGGGACACTTGGATTATTTCCATCTAGAGGCTGTTATGAATAATGATGATATAAACATTCATGAATAAGATTTTTCTGTGGTCATATTTTCAATTCTTACAAGCATATACATAAAAGTGGAATTGCTGGGTCATATGGTCAACCTGTGGGGATTTTTTGTTTGTTTGTTTGCTTGTTTGAGGCCCTGCCAAGCCAAACTGTTTTCCAAAGGGAGTGTATCATTTTACCTTCCCAACAGCAATGAATGGGAGTTCAAATTTCTCTACATCCTCACTAACACTTACCTTTTTCATTATCACCAACCTAGTCAGTGTGAAGTTGCATTAACGATGGTTTGCTTTGTATATAACTACTGATGAATGATATGAAATGTATTTTCATGTTTATTAACCCTTTGTGTATGTATGTGTGTACTGTTTGGAGAAATATACTTTTAATTACTTTGCCCATTTTTAACTTTTTTCTCTTTGTATTTTTCAGTTATAAGAATTCATTATTACTCCGAATACTAGATGTGCAATTTTCTCCCATTCTTTGGGTTGTCTTGGAACTTTCTTGGTAGTGTCCTTAATGTAAAAGCATATTTAATGTTGTGCAGCTCAACTGGTCTATTTTTTTCTTTAGTTTGTTGTGGTTTTTGGTGTCATGCCTCAGAAACTATTGCGTGATCTGAGGTCATGAATATTTGCACCTAAGTTTTCTCCTAAGAATTTTATATTTTTAAGTTTTAATTTTTGAACATGGTGTGATGTAGGGTTCCAGTTTCATTCTTTTCAAGTAGATATCCAGTAATGCCAGCACCATTTATTCAAAAGATTCTTCTTTCCCTCAAAAGATTCTTCTTTCCCCCACTGTATTGTTTAGGCATCCTAATAAAATATCAATTAACCATAAATGTATAAGTTTATTTCTGGACTCTCCGTTCTATTTTATTGATCTACATGTTTATTTTTATGTCAGCACCACATAGTCTCCATTACTATTGTTTTGTAGTAAGTTTTAAAATTTAAAAGTATGTGTCTTTTTCAAGATTCCTTTTTCTATTCTGGTGCTTTCTACATGGATGTTAAGGTCACCCTATCAATTTGTGCAAAATGCTTAACTGGGGTTTTGCCAGATGTTTCACTGAACCTGTAGGTCAATTTGTGAGTATTACCATCTTAACTATATTAAGTCTTCCAATTCATGAATATGGGATGTCTTCCTATTTATTTGTTTATTTATTTATTTATTTATTTAGGTCTTCCTTAATTACTTCCAATAAAATTCAATGTACAGGTCTTATACTTCTTTTGCTAAACTTATGCCTAAGCACTTTAATCTTTTTGATACTAATGTAAATAAGATTGTTTTCTTACTTTAATTTTCAAATTGTTCATTAAGCATGTATAGAAATAGTTTCAGGTGTACAACATAGTGGTTAGACAATCAAATACTTTACTAAGCGTTGCCCCAGATATCTCCTGTACCCAGCTAACATCAAAATTATGATTGAAAACAAAATTTAGAAAAACAAAAAGAATGTCTAGAAATATAATTTGTTTTTGTATAATGATCTTGTATCCTGCAACATTGTATTCTGACTCCTTTATCAGTTCTAATAATGTGCGATTATGATGTGGTGTGTGTGTGTGTGTACTCCTTAAGACTTTCCATATACAAAATTAAGTTATATGCAAATAAACATAGTTTTACTTCTTCCTTTTCAATCTTGGCTAATTATCTTGTGTAGAACCTCCAGCATGATGATGAATGGAAGAGGCAAGAGTACATATCCTAGTATTGTTTTTTTTTTTTTTTTTTAACTTAGAAAGATTTTAGATTTTCACTATTAAATATTATGTGGATTTTTTGTATTAGCCAATTATCAAGTTAGGAAACTTCCCCTCTATTATTAGTTTGTATAATATTTTTTTCAAATGTTTTTCTTTGTGTCTGAGATGTTTGTGTACTTTAGTTTTTTAATCTATTAATATGGTATAATTCATTGATTGACCTTTTTAGATGTTAAACCTCACTTGGTTATGGTATATTAATTCTTTTTATATGTTGTTGAATTTGGTTTCTAGTATTTTGCTGAGGATTTTTATCTGTAAATTCATGAGCGACACTGGTCTGTAGCTTTGGTTTCTTACTATTTTTGGTTTTGCTATCAGGGTAATACTTGCCTCATAGAATGAGTCGGGAAGTATTTCCTTCTCTTCTATTTTTGGAAGAGTATGTGAAGAATAACTCAATTCTTTAAGCCTTTCGTAGAATTCATCACTGGGGCCAGCTGGTCCTGGGCTTGTCTTTTTGGGAAGTTTTCTGACTACTAAATCAATGGCTTTATTTGTTATTGGTCTATTTGAATTTTCTGTTTCTTCTGAAGTCCACTTGCATTTAATTCCACTAAAGTCAGCCACCAGTGACATCAGTCTACTGCTTCTTGGCCATTCCAATGTGGGTCAATTTCACTGCAGGTGCCAAATGTAGCAGAGGCTCTAATCAAGAGTCACTTTCTATCCTCAGGTCAAAAGAATGTTGTTGGACTGATAAATAAGAAAAGGAACTCCTATTTGTAGAGAACGCCCATTTGCCAAGCAATGTGAGGATATGTAATATACATTATTTTATTAAAATAGTCACATCAACTCTGAATGCTAGGTTTAACTTTTTCAACT